ATGTTCGTTGGTTAGCAAATCACTTGAGAACTGCTTTACCGATTTGGCAAATTTTTTTTAAATGTTCATAATAGTCCAAATAAGGTTTTTAGGGAAAGAAAAATTGGATAAGTTACCCGGAAAATGAAATATTCGCGAAAAACTGATAGTGCTTTTTTCTTTGGGATTTTTCTATGAACTCAAGACCATAACTCACGATTCGAACGATGGATATGCATTATTCTTTTTTGTTTTGTTCATTATGGTTCTGGAAAAGTTTTCAGGAAAAACAATCACAAACAAGTTTATTGAAATTTGGGCAGGACGTCTATTGGGTCAGCTAATTTTAGCTATATTATCTTAGAGAACTGTCTATAATAAATTTTATTCAAGTGTCTCTAAAAAGCGATAATTAGCTCATAAAAAATAAAGAAAAAAATGTTTTGTAGTCCCATCACTTGTTTAGAAGCAAAATTGTCAAATTTGTTCTAAATCAGTTTGTTTTCATCCAGAATTCCCTCCGCGTATTTATGTTTATCTTGTACAACTTCCCCAACAAAATAATAAATAATTTGTTTAAGGAAAGTTTATTATTTGGAAATTCACAAATTGTATTCATTAAGTTTAAAAACTGTTGATTCTTGAAAATTTGCTAAGAACTTTAATATAATATGAAGCAACTGAAAGTACAAGATTTAATTCTCTTTTCTATGTGAACATTTATGTTAACTCATATTAGATTTTTTTTATTTCAAAGCAACCCACCTGCTGTAATTGTTGCATGTTCATTTGCATTGGCTGCTGTGTAACTGCAAGGTTAGATTGCAGTGGTAATCCCTGTTGTATGGTACTAATGTTTTGTTGCTGAATTTGTTGTTGAACTTGTTGGGCAGCATTTGCTTGGGCTGACATGGACACAACAGGCATAATGGGTCTATCTCCGGCCATTTGCAGCTGTTGAGAAGGGATAGCAGGAATCGTTTGTACTAGAAATTTAATTATTATTTAAGTAACGATTCATTCAAAAGTTAATACTACATACTCATCATGGGTTTAGGTTGAATGTGCTGTTGTTGTCCTTGCTGCAATTGGTATTGCTGAATAGCTTGCTGTTGTTGCTGCTGCTGCTGCTGCTGTTGAATCTGCTGTTGCATAACGACAGCTTGTTGTTGTTGAGTCTGCTGTTGCTGTTGAGTTTTGTTTTGGTTTGCTAATTGCTGAGCTTTTTCGGCAGTCATTGGAGATCCTGGTGTCATAGCCATACCGTTCGAATTCATTACCAACATTCTAGAACAAGTAAAAAGTTCAGATGTCGGACTATACTCGTATTATTAATATAGTTTCAAGTGTACTGGTGACTTACTTATTTCCGACAATGTGATGTTGTTGCATATTCGAGTAAGGTTTAATTTGTGTTTGATTGGCTGCATCGGCTTTTGGAGCAGGAGATGTTCGTATCTGGGGAGCTTTTGTTCGGATTTTGGTGCCAGGTTTGTTGCCCATGGATGCCTGTAAATAATATGTCTATTACCAAATGGTAATAATCATTATAACAATTAAGTAGTTGTATTTGTTTGTGGACATATGTAAAATGTTAAAAAAATGGGGTAATTTAAAGTAACTTTTATTTAAACAACTGTAAAAATGAACAATTCATTATTTGTTATATGTTATTTGTTATTTTATTTGTGGGATTTCTTAAATAGTTTTTTGGGTATTTTACAGCTTTACAAATTATAAAATGGTGGAACAGAATTTTTTTTATTTGTAACAAAATACTCAAGAGAAAAAGAGAAACTACTTTTCATTGAATATTAAATTTAAAAGAAATCATTTGTTTTATTGTACAATATATAAACAAAATTCTGTTTTTGGATGTGACAGCAAAATTAGAAAAAAGAGAAAGAGAATTTTCACTATGGTCCTAAAATGTCTCCCGATATTTTGAGAATGGATGGAATTTACAAAATATAGGTACCTTTTTATATTAACTTTTTTTAATGAATAAAAAGGGAATGGACAAGGAATCCTGAATTGCACATGCCAAATTTTATGTTGTGATAAAACACTATAAATTAAGAAAAAAAGTCTTATAAACCTAGGTCGTACAACACTTTGTTTTTGAGATAGAATTTTTGAAATTTAAAAATATAATATTTATTTAAATATCTCTTAAACTGTTTGACATAGACTGATAAAACTTAGGGTAATAATTTAACTAACTGGGTAAAAATTCTTGAGGTAATCCACACTTATTCAAGTTTAAAATAATAGTTACCGAAAAATGGCTCCATTTAGGAATAAAATGGAAGATTCTTTTTTCTTAGAAGCACCAGCCAGAATTAAATGTAGTTATCCCAACTGCTAAATATTCCGTGATGTCTAAATTCTGTCAGTGACGATATTTCCCATCATCTCCCCTACTGATTAACATACATATTTATGTATCAACTTGGTGAGTTTTTGTCCATAATTAAGTCACAATAAGGTTCACTAATCTGTCAAACATTTTGAGACATATTTAAATAATTGTGATTTTTCTTTATTTTTAATTGAACAATGGATTTCAAAAACGAAAACGACCTATGTTTAAATAAGCATTTCTTCATTGTCTTTTCTGAGGTGTTTTGTCAAAGGGAGATAGTAGTATAAATTATTTTATTTCCGAAAAGTTTCGAGACATTTAATAATTTTTTATACTTACACTTAGGTTATTTGGACATTAATTTACAGGGTATTAGGTACTCACGTTTCAAGTCAAGGGTAGTTTTAAGGCAGTTTACTATTTTTTTTTACCTTGTCAAAATTTTATAAAAAATATTTGCAGACTATTAGGCAATAAATCCAGATTTCATACGAGAGTGCATTTGTAATTAAATAATAAATTTCATAACATTGAACAATCTCAATAAATCTTTAGTTATATTATTTTTATTTTCAAATATGTATTTTAATTGAAGTTTTGCATTTGTTTTTTTCCTTTCATTTCGATTAATTGAACTTAAACAGTGACTTTTTCTCTAACAATCTGAAGATAGATATTTTTCAAAAGGGGATAAATACATACAGTGGCAGCTGGTGCGGAGGGGGCTCTGAGGCGTCGCCCCACGTCCTAGGAATTTTCGCAGTAAAAAAAATTTAATTTAAAATTTAGTTTTCAATGTCATCTAGATCATTAAATAGATTAGTTTTATGACACACATTAAAACAGAAATGTTAAATTTGAAAAACACTGAATACGTGGATTCATTGTAGCTCTCCCCTGAATCTGTAAAGTGTTTATACCGGTGGTCACGGTTACCATCGCGCATCAGTGAAAGACGGAGTGGGAGTGAAGTGATATTTACTATGTTTGGGCTCTATTTAGTTCGCCGTAACCAAATAACAACTGTTTGTGCTTTTTTTTCTTATTAATAGTATATTACGTAATAAGTGTTGTAAAAAGCATTTTACGCACAAATGGAAAAGTTACGACGCCGCGTAGCGGCGAGTGCGTAATTCTATGAGTGCGTAATTGCATTACACCACGTATTACGTACTATACTTTACCTACGACCACTACTTTAAATTCTTAAAAACACACCGTCTGCAATCAATGCAAGATTCCTATTACGTCGTACGGTAAAAAAATCGCACAGCTTGGTAAAAAAATCGTACAGTTTTCCTAGCAACCGCCTAGCAACGGTCAATACAAACAGTATTGTATTCGTCGTTGCTAGGCAGTTGCTAGGAAAACTGTGCGATTTTTTTACCGTGTGTAATAGGAATCTTACATTGATCGCAGACAGTGTGTTTTTAAGTATTTACAGTAGTGGTCGTAGGTAAACACAATATGTTGATGTGTGGTGTAAAATTTTGTTACCTACGTACTGTTTCTTGTGTGTTTTTTTAGATATTATAAAAGTTTAAAATAGATTTTAAAGACAGACAAACAGTAGTTGCAGTGCTATCTATTGAAAAATCAATGGCGAAAGAAATACCATACTTGAATGAAAAAGTTAATTAAAAATTTTCTTTCAGACAAAAACAGAAGAATGGACTCTCACTATAAAATAAAATCAATAGTACTTAAAATAAAACTATTATATTTGATTTTTTTTTTGTTTGAATACTTCCGCCCTCTCTGTTATAGAAGTCAAGAACCGCCACTGGATAAATATAAGAATGTTAATACTGCATACATTAATATCATGTGTAAGTTTAAAATATGAATAAATTTTCCAAAGCATTTATCATTTCCCATTAACGGACTATATCTTTAGCAAATTTGAAAAACAAAAAAAAATTATAAGAAGATACCCTTATTTTTTATATTCTATATTTATTTATATATCTATCCCTAAAATATTGAGAAACAAGTTGTATACTGTCATACTTACAGGTGTTTGTGCACCAATCGTCTGTGTTGAGACTGAACTGGCAGGACGGATGTTCGCAGCATTCGAGGGTAATATATTTAATGGACGATTGGTTTGTTGTTTAGGTTGTATATTTTCATTAGATGGTCTTGGTTTCGATATTTGTTGGACGGTTCCCTGTGTTGCAATAGTTTCTAAAATAAAAGTTAAAAATTAAAAGATAAATGTAGGCCAAGCTTTGTCTGCATGAAATTTGTTATGAAAAAATAAATGTTTGATAAAGTTAAGCTGAAAATCATTAAATACTGTAGCAGCGTTCAGAATACTATTTTGAAGATATTCTAAATATGACAATAATTAAAAATACAAGCTGCTGCTAAAATATATACTGACGAATAATGAAGGACCAACTAATAAAATTAAGTTAAAATATATCACTTACGATTTTGTTGGGTTTGGATGGTAGCAGCTTGAGGGTTCTGCTGAATGAACATTCCTGGGCCGGGAGTTCCATCTGCCTGAGTACCTCTAATGAAAATGGGGTTGGGTGTTAGCTGTAACGCCTGAGACTGTAGACCATTCGTGGTCCATACCTGCTGCAAACCATTTGCTGCAAATTGCCAAGGAGCAAATTGCATTGGCTGGCCTCCAGGCTATAAAGAAGAAAAGGAAACAGTCAAACCCTATGTCCACATTTTTTAAGCCTGGCCAATATTTGTTGGTGAAAATTTAAGCAAGAAGTGTAGTTGCTGTGGAGTTTGTGATAGTGCGTGAGATAAACAGCAATAGTAAAATGTGGGGAGGGGAACGAAGAGTTAATCTTTTAACTTCTCGAAGACTCTCAGAGATCTCCCGCATTTTTATAGGAAATATGTAGTAAATTTATTACTTTGGTTCACTTTCATCCACATGGTTAATAGAAGAGAAGTGACCATATTTCCACACAAGGTTTTACACGTGTAAAAAATTGAGGATTCAGTTTTTTGATACCAAAAAAAGCATTCAAGAATTTTCTGCTTTTAATGAATTAGGTGCCTCTTAAAAATCTGTTAATATATTTCGGAACTACTACAATACAAAGTATTTATATAAAACATGCTAGATTTTATATTTTCTAACTACCTCAAATTCTACAAAAGACTTTATTCTTACTTGTATTGGACTGATAATTTGGGCAGTCGGCTGTGTGCCGATCATAGCTTGGGAAACCTGTACACATTGTCCTTGTTGTTGTGTTTGAGCAACAGCGCCTGTACTACTTGCAACTTTTTGCATTTGAACTTTTTGGCCACCCATAACCTAAGTAGGACAAACTTTAGAATGACAATGTTTTTAGCAATTAACAGATTAACAATAGTACAATGCGCATATGCTTCTGTATCCAGTGTTAAGTGTAGGTTTTAAAAACTAAAAATGTCTACATCTAATTATATTAATGTATAACTATTATTATTTCTAAATGTGTAACACAAATGATTTCAGATTAAGCGGAACTATTTAAAAAGTTATACCTGTCGATGAATTTTTCTTATGAAATTATTAAAACTATACAAATACATTACTGCACTATTCATTTTAGTTTTGATAGAAGTAACATGCATCCAGAATGTTTTATTGTATTTAAGCCACAAAGCATAAACTATAATGCTTTGTGATTTAAGCAAAACAACCATTATATAAAGTACATGTGACATAAGTACTACAAATGTCAGTGTAATGTAATTAAATTTGGTAACTTGAAGTGTAAATAAATCAATCACAAAAATGGAAATAAGAATTCATGCCATGTATTTTGTATTATTATTGCTATTAATTTTTATTATTATTCCTATTAATCTTGAAAATATTTTTTGTTATTACTTATATATGTTACTTGTCTGAATTACCTTATGCATTTCCTGAGGTTTTTGTTGAGCGACCTGTCCATTTCCTTGGGAATGATTGGGTAGAATGTTAGGTTGAGAACTGATTACACCCAGCTGGCTAAACACTAATGTTTGCTGATTCTGGGTAGTAGGTATTGTTGGAATTGTTGTGTAGCCTGGGAAGGTAGCAGCTTGGCTGCCTTGCAAAACTTGTTTTCCTTGAGCCGTTGTCAGCATGTGGGGAGCTAGTTGGTTTCCTTGGAAAGGTTTAGCAATAACCTAAGACACAATGGACAAATAATAGTACTTATATTGCTAACTGACTCCAAATAATTTTAAGTATAAGTTTAGACAACCTGAATTTTTTGAAAAAAATGGACACGGATAATAAACATTCCCCTTGCGATTTCAGATTTATATTAACATAGGTAAAGAAGGAATAAACTTTTACTCGAAAGAACAATTATACATCAGCTGTATGCTTGGAATACCATAAAACCGAAAACAAACAATATTTTACTGGCAATTGAACATTTGCACAGGTTAATTGTTTCTGATACTATGATATCCATAAGCTTTTGTTTTAATTGCGGCTTTAATTTTTTGAACCGTGCTTCCTACAAACTTCTGACAATTGTACTTTGTATAGTAACAGGTTGCTGGAAAATGAAATTTTCATCGATGAACTGCAACCTCCCTAACCTTTTGGAATCACAATTAATCCTTTGGCGATGTTTACGATCCACTTCAGTCAGTGCTTCACCTTTAAGGTGGATCCACAAGACCAATTATCACCGACTGATGCTTCAAAATATAGATTAGTTGCTGAAAATGATTCTGTTCTACACTTCCTCTATCAAAAATCATGGGTAAAGAAACGGCTGCACTTGTCAAAGGAAAACTTCAAATAGGTTCATATTCAATGATTAATCCAAATTAGTTGGTGATAGTTTTGTGTCCAACTAAAGAAAACTATAAAATTTGCCAAACAAGCAATGATGTAGGGAAGTACTTCATCCAAAATATTAAGAACTTTCTTCAGCAAGAAAGTTAACATGGAGAAATATCAGAATGTACTGACATAGAACCTTCCGTCTAATATTGAAAAATTGCATCTACATGAAAATTTCATTTCCCAACAAGATGGTGGATCCTACCACACATTGAGATCACCTAAAATTTGGTTTGAAAATGCCGTTAATATAAAGAATGTGTAGTAGAAAATAAAGAAGCATGCAAGGAAAAATCAAAGAAAAGAACTTGATGGATTTACACACTAAACTGCTGGAAATTTGAAATAATTTTTTGAGAGATGCATGTCAGAAGCTTGTGGGTAGCATATTTTAAAGAATTAAAGCCGAGATTAAGGCAAAATGCAATGTTGTGTGAGCATTTATTTTCCAGCAAAATATTTTTAATTTATTTGAATTCTGTTGACTTTTATTGCCAGTAGAAAATACTAGCTTTCACTGTAAGAAGCGGATATCCTTGCAAGTGTTATTTTATCGGTGTTTATTTGCGGATGGTGTAAGGCAGTGTTTTTGTCAGCAAACCAGTAGAAAGCTACCCCTATTGCTTCGGTATCTCTGTTTATAAACACAAACCAGGTAGAATGTTTCTTTTTCATGTATATTATTTTTTGTTAAACAAATCAGGGTGTTTAAACCTAGAATTTCCAGGGTTCATATCATTTAGACATCAAAATATGTTTGTATGTTCTTTGAGTTATACTCTTTCTTTCTTAATCTCATCATTTGAGATATTATCTATTAATTCTATTACACCAGAATAGGAGAAAATTACCTGAATTTGTGAAGGATTGATGCTAGGATGTAACGCAATATTACTTATGTTTCCAGGCATCAAGAGCTGCCCCTGGGTGTTGTACAATTGCGATAGATAAGCCGGATTTTGAATTGGCTGCTGGATAACTTGTACAGCTCTTCCATGACTCCAGTCAGTACTGATCTGTTGCTGGTGGGCTGCTTGACTTTGTTGCAGTGGGGACATCGTTGTTATGGTGGTTGTTCCTGTTTGAGCCGCAGCCAGGACCCCTCCTTGGGCCTGAATTACCTGGCCCTGTTGGGCGACTTGCTGATGCATGGAAACGGTGTGCTGTGGGGGTCCCATTGAAGTAGCTACACACTGAGCACCTGAGAATAAATAGCTGTTTTAAAAAGAAGTAAAAATAGGTAAAGTAGATTTTGAGTTACAAACAATAAAATTTCAGTGTGCCGGTTAAATAATGTACATTTTCGAAAAATATCCAAATTAAAACTTTATGACAATGTGTCAAGAAATGTTCAAAAATTTGTTGAACCATTTGGTGTATGTGTGTATGCAGAGTATAAAGTTTGCAAATATTTTATTGAATGGTGATGCATCTCCAATTTTTCATAAACTATGATAATTTTTGGTTGGATATCCTCAACGAAAATGCAAGTAGTTATAAAATAAATATCGTTAGATATATACAGAGTATTCATAAATGATTATAATCCATGTGAGCAGTAATTTTGTTTGGAACAGTTATTTTATTCCCTTCATGTTGGCAATTAAATTGTGGTAAAATTAAAACAATAAGATCAAAATTACATTAAACCCCAATATTCTATTTCATGGGATGTGATTGGTGTAATTTTTTTACAAGATTCCCTTCGATCAATCAGCGAATGCATTTCAAGCGTAGACGTAACGGTTTGTCACTGGTCTTTGTAAACATTTATGAAGGTTCTGTTTCTATAGAAGATACAGGAATTTCAATACCACATATTTATATCAAGATTATGAGAAACTTGAAGGTTAATCTAGAAAAATAAAAAGTTACCAATGCTGTACAAAATCAAAACAAAAAAACTGTCAAGTTTAACTTGCAAGAATTAAGAGTTTGAAAAACGAAACAGTTTACACTTTGTGGTGTTGGGATGATTTGTCTTTTTTTGTGAAATCGCAAGCAATATCTACTTCCTTTGTGTGAAATATTTTTGGTTAGATAAAAATAATTTATACAATTATTGACTGATACTTTTGATACAAGGGATATTTTTTATAGTAATTCTATATTCTTTTCCTTTTTGTTGAAACAAAATAACCACTTAAATAAAAATATACTGAAAATGCCACAAGTATATTGTTACCTACCAATATATAAATTCTGGAGATGCAAAATAAGTTTTTTTTTATATATACATATTAAGTACATTTTATCTGAGTTAGACTGAAATATTCATATAATTAACGATGTCAAAAAAAAATAAATAAAGATTGTGCAAGAATGGATGGAATATGTGCATTTTTATTTTTAAACACACCAAGTCGATAGGCGTATACAAAGTACATACCTATTACTTACAAAAGATAAGTAAAAAGAAAAAAATGGCCAGAACAAATACCAAGTTCAACAAAACAACATCTATGTATGTGCATGAACGAGATAAGTGATGTGCAACGTTTTCCTGTTCTTGCACCAGTCTGTAGCAAAATTGCAGCACAAAATACATTTTTAAACATGTATCTTTACTAATCTCATTTTTCAAATAAACGGATTTATCCCCCTTCTGCCGTTATGAAGTTGCTTGTATTAAAAAACAAATTACCTGATGCCCCTACCGCAACCTGTTGCATGTGCGGGCTCTGCGCCGGTACGAGGGCCTGTTGTTCCTGTTGCTGCTGTAGAGCGACCTGTTGCATCTGCTGTTGTTGCACAGCCTGAGCCTGTGCCTGCGCTTGAGCCTGAGCTTGAGCCTGAGCCTGGGCCTGAGCCTGTGCTTGTGCGTTGGCGTCCATCTGCTGTTGCTGCTTGTTGATATCGCTCATACTTGACATGCTATCCACGTTCTGCTTGATAAACTCGTGTCCGCGGTCCAAATTCAACAGTGTGTTCGCGATGTCATATTTACAGTCGTCCGCTGTGATGTCTGTTATACCGGCCTTTTGGGCTAGAGTCTCTAAGCACTGCAACGAGCGGCTGCCTTGTTGCTGCTGGTTGTTGTTGTTATTACTCGAATCGTCCTGTTGCGTCGATTCCGGCTCTTGGTTGTTGTCCTCGTTGTTGTTTACCTTCTGTTGTTTAGGTGGGGTGCTGGTATTTGTGGCGTCTTTCAGAGGTTGCTTCTGTTGTTGCTGCTGCTGAAGCTGGCTGTCGGCTTGTTGGAGGTTGTCGTAATGTTGGGACCTGAGAGAAAATAAATTTTTAAGAGTTGGGAAATTATGTGAATACTAAGAAAATATAGATAGACATTAATTAGACAACAATCTATTATAAAACACCAATATGCAATATAGGGTGTTAGTTTTTTTAATTTATTTTTCCGAAACAATAGTAGTTTTATTAAAATTTAGATGATCGTGAAGATTTTTGCCATTTTCTATGACTAAATTTAGATAATTGAAGTGTTGAAACATTAAAGGGACTAAGTACCATAAGATGTTTCCTGAAATATTTGATAATAGTAGTATAAATGTAACAATTTTGTAGCAGTGTATCTAAAAATTTTAAACAAAGTTATTATTATTATTATCATTTCCAGAAAAATATAAAAATAAGAAGGGAATATTTTGTTCATCTCTATTTATCTATTAACGATGCCAAAATCAACCACTCTGATAAAGTTCTTCATTTATCTGCTTGTGGAGAGCCTTGAAGCAAAGTGAATTTAGCTATATCTAGACTCTTGTTAGGTAGTGTCCCCGACATTCATCGTCTCGATCGCACTAAATGACGTCACGAATTAAGGCGGCCGCAAACGCCCCTTTAAAACATTTATTTCGCGCCATTGTTCAACTTTGATAATATGAACGCTTCATTTTAAGTACTTTTTAGTCTCGTTCAACATTTAAGTTATTAAAGATATTTCGGATACGATATCTTGAAAAAAATCCGTAGAATAAAAATAATTCTAACACTCAGTATATTGAATGCACGCATGTTTATGTTGATAGGATGTCGTATGAAAAGTGTGCTAAAGAAATAACTTCATGGGCAAGCTAGTAACTAATAAATATCTAGTATAAAAATTAAAAAAGCAATAAAACAATTAAAAAAATATTTTAGATAATTATTAATTACTAGTACTACATACCTAACATTGTTTAACATTTCTAGATAATTGGTATCGAAGAGGCGTAAATAGGACTTTATTTGTTAAGAATTTTTGGAAAATCTTCAATTTAGTTAGCTTTAAAGTAAAATAAAAGTGCTAGAGCTAATAATAATAAAAAATATACTATAATTTAAAAAAATATTTGAAAATAAGGGACCTTTTTGAAACGCCCTATGTATCTATATATTATTTAAGACATTGTTCAAAAATGTTGAACGATTTAATTTCAGTACAAGATTGAATGTTTTTTATTAGAACGTTGTTTGTATTCATTTATAAATTTTTAACAAACCATACAATTATCTCGATCGGTATTCACAATGTGTTACTTATTATTATGCATTTCTTTCGTGTAGAGGACCCAATGCAATTATACTTTTCCCCAGATACCGTCACATCCCAGTCTTTTTTTCCATTTTTATTACACCCCTGCACCACCGTAGATACGGATAGGGCAGATAGGGTCCAGACTTAGTTAAATCTTTATTAGATTTGTGGCCCTGCTGCATCTATATTGCTTATTTATTTTAAATCTTATGCGGACACCATCGTGGCTCATATGCAAAGGCATCAATTTACGCTACTCAAAAAGAACTGATTCGGAAGTGAAAAATGGAAATGAAATTTCAATAATATAATATATGCAATATATTATAATTAGCTGTAATACGTACGAGGGTGGTCTGAAAAGTTTTCGACCTCAACATGAAGATGGCAGCACTGGACGCGCAGTTGTTATGTAACAATCGTTTGAGTGAGTTGATGTGAGCGTTTTTATGAAAATGGACAAACTCGAGTATCGAGCTGTCATTAAATATTTGTTTTTGAAAGGCAATACGCCTACGCAAATCAAAGATGAGTTGGATTCAGTGTATGGGGACTCTGCGCCATCATTTTCAACATTTAAACATGAGAAAGCTGTCCGCGCGTTGGGTGCCGCGTTTGCTCACGTTAGACCAAAAACGTGTTTGAATGAACATTTCCAACGCTCTGTTGGCGCAGTTTAGGCGCAATAAATCCGAGTTTTGGCGCCGATTAATTACTGTAGATGAAACTTGGATACACCATTATACGGCCGAAACAAAAATACGGTCCAAACAGTGGACTGCAAAGGGGGAACCGGCTCCAAAAAAAAGCAAAAACTGTTTTTTCGACTGGGAAAGTGATGGTAACTGTTTTTTTGGGATAGTCATGGAGTTATTTTAATCGATTATCTTCAAAAAGGAAAGGAGCGTAGATACTACGCATCATTACTTGACAAGCTGAAGGCAGAACTTGCGGAAAAACGGCCACATTTGCAGAAAAAGAAAATCCTGTTTCACCAAGACAACGCACCGTCTCACACCTCAACGATTGCCATGGCGAAAATCCACGAATTACGGTTTGAACTGCTTGACCATCCTTCTTCCTCAGCTGTTGTCGCCCGCGGTTTCTTTTTGTTCCCTCATCTAAAAATTGCGCTCGGAGGACAGAGATTTTCGTCAAATGAAGAGGCAATCACCTTCGTGAACAATTATTTTGCAGAGAAAAACGCCGAGTACTATTTGGACGGGTTACAGAGATGGGAGCATCGCTGGGAGAAGTGTGTAGAGTTACAACGAGACTATGTTGAAAAATAAAAAAAAAATCTGAAAAATTGTCTTGTATCTTTGTTAGGTCGGAAACTTTTCAGACCACTCTCGTATGTGCTTTCTAAATATCACGGATGAAGCATTCTGACCTTAAGAATTAAGGACTGGTAGCATTACTTAAATTTTAAAGTGCGCTAAAAATGCGATCTAAATTTCACAATTGTTTTAGGCTCTACTTTGAAAACTAGAAAAAGGCTCCAAATATCTGTGGAACAGTAAAGAATAATTTTGTCTATGGATTTATATTGAAATCTTAATTTTCAACGGCTGAATCCATTGTCTTAGAATTATTGGAAAAGTTTTCTTTCATCCTTTTAGGATTTCCTTTGTTTTTAACTTCAGTTGGTATTTTTATGGCGCTATAAGAATTAATGGTCTCTCATGTATATTTTAAGATAAGTGTAGCACGTAGTGTGGGTTATCATTCTTGAGCTGTGAAAGGGGAACAAAATTTGAATACCGCTTGTACAATTTTTTATTTTACTAGGTGAATCCAACTAATTATAGTCACACAGTGAACGTAAAGTAAAGAGGTAATATTAACACGGTTCTTAACATTATATACATAAAGACCTTATTTAATTGAAACCAGGTGTTTCCGCTATACAAATATTCTATAACGCCTTAAGAACAACCGAAATCTTTGCTATTTCCGCTCTAAATGCAGACAGTTTTTTCTCAGTCTCAAAAGACGAGTTAAAATGCGTTCAATGTTAATGCGTGTACCTAAATGTTAGTTGTATTTATGCTAATTATTGAAAGTTGTATTGAAGCCAACATCACGCCAGCAGTTCGCATTTTTTTTTATAGTCTGGAAGTTTGCGCACTAGAACCATTTTTTCCTGTAAAGACAAATACAAAACCAATTCGATGATTCTGATAGACATAAACTATTCTAGCTCGTGATATTGAGATACTTGGGTTTGCGTTTCATTGTAATATATATTTTTGGCAGTATCCAATAAGCGAAACTTGAAACAAGGTGAAAACTGTGTGAGAAAATTGCTATATATTTCGCGGCATAAAAAATAGGTCAATACTTTTCGAAATATATCAATATACAGGCTGATTCAGGAGGAAATCTCAATATTTTAGGTACGTATTCAGGGATCCAAAATATGTAAACATAAAAGTTCCTATAAACATGGGTCCTATTCTCAGTCGTTACGTAATAGCGATAAACAATATTCAAGATTTTTATTAAATTATTTATAACAGGTAGGCTAGGTTCTATAGTTAAAAATGCCACCGTTTACTTCTAAATACAAGTCAGCTCTCTCATGAATAGCTCGGGTCGCTCTATAAATGAATGCGGATCTGTTTCTTATAGTTGCTGCTGAATTTATTCGATCGAGTAATGTATCTCTAGTGTTTACTTTAGCAATGATTTAAACCACCCCCAAAGACAATAATTAAGAGGATTAAGGTCTGGCGATCTAGCTGGCCAATTATGGGGATTACCTCGACCAATCCACCGGTTTGAAAAGTTGACTAATAAATTTCATACTTTTAAACTGTAGTGTGCAGGGTTCCATCATGTTATGATTACATGTTCTGTCGTGGAACATCTAATAGGTTTTGCAAGTGATTCTGTAGAAAATTTAAGTACCTATACTTATCCTGTAAGATGACCGTCGAATATGAATGGACATAATAACATTAATGCTGAATTTATGTTGAAAATTATGTTCTAACTAGCGTGAGGATTTTTATAGAATCATCGGTGTTGATTGTGAATATATTAATATCACCACGAGCCACGAGTGTACTGTGCTTTATCAGGGAACAGAACATACTTATACAGTATTCGATTTGCATTAATCCAATTACGGAATGCAGATACAATTCTCGCACTGGGAAACATACCAGATTCTCTAGCAGTAGTAAAAGCTTGTTGAAAAACCCTTCTATCTGGCACTTTCCTATTCGGAAAGCGACGCTGCTACACCACGACTGCAAGATTTGAGTCCCCTTACAGAAGACATAAACGAATATCATATCAGCATATTCACGATGCGAGAATGTGGCAGGCATAATGAAATGAATCTAATGTTTCTCAAAGAATGGGGTCATTCAGTAAATTTTCAAAAACGTTCTTATTTTGAATATACAAAGTATTGCTCATGATTAGACGATCCCGAAAATTTCAACTCAATCCGTTGAGCGGTTTTCAAACTATATGATTTTTAAAATGGGAATATTTGTCTCAGCCGTGGCCATGCAATGACGTCACTGCATGGGACGGTCAGCCGGCTTGGCGCTACTTCCAGATGAGTTTCTGCATCTACAGAATGTTTTAGCGTGTGTGCATATTAAATTTAAAAAATAGAAGCAAATTTCTTTTATGTTTATTTTGGGTCCCTGAATACGTATATAAAATATTGACATTTTCTCCTGAATCACCCTGTACATATATGTCAAAGACAAAATTGTAAGATTAT